CAAGACCTTGGATTTGGCAATGGTTTCTTAGATATGACACCAATTCAGAAGCAACAAAAGAACAAACTAGACATCACCAAAATTAAACACCTTAGTGTTTCAAAGATAATTATCAAGAAGTTAGAAAGACAACCCAAAGAATGAGAAAAATTAATTGCAAATTGTGTCTCTGATAAGGAACTTATATCTATAATATATAAAGAATTCCTACAACTCAATAATCAATAGACATATATCCCAGTTTTAAAAGGGGCTGAATACATATTTTGTTATATTATTTATTTCCAAATAAAAGATCTGAATATTTTTCTGAAGAAGATGTGCAAATGGCCAAAAAGCACCTAAAAAGAAGCCAACATCACTAGTCCTCAGAGAAATGCAAATCAAAACCACAGAGATTCCACTTCGTGCTCCCTAGGATGGCTATTGTATTGGTTTCCTATGACTGCTGTAACAATTATCACAATTAAAACAAGAGAAATGGATCCCCTCACATGCCCAAAATCAGCTTCGCTGGGTGGAAATCAAGGTGCTGACTAGGCTGTGTTCCCTCCTAAGGCTCTAAGGGAGAAATTTCTCCTTGCTTCTTCCAGCTCTTGACAGCTGCTGGCACTCCTCGGCTGTGGCAATGTCATTTCATTCTTTTTTTCTGTAGTCACCTTGCCTCTACTCTTCTCTCTACAGGCAAATCCCCCTCTGCCTTCTTCTTAGCAACTGTCCCTTTTAAGAACACACATGACTGCATTTAGGGCCCACCTGGATAATCCAGGATAGTCTCCTCCATCTCGATATCCTTTACTAAATCACATCTGCATAGACCCTTTTCCCATACAAGGTAACATTCACAGATTCTAGGGATAAGGACCGGGATATCTTTGGGGGTCATTATTCTGTCTATGAGTGATATCATGGATACTAAATAACAAGTGCTGGTGAGGATGTGGAGAAATTAGAACCCTCATACACTGTTAGCAGAAATGTAAATGGTGCAGTCACTGTGGAAAATAGTCTGGTAGTTCCTAGAATAGTTAAACATAGAGTTACCATGTGATACAACAATTCCACTCTTAGGCACGTACCCAAGAGAAATGGAAACATGTTCACACAAAAATCTGTATACAAATGTTCATAACAGAATTATTTGTAATAGCTCAAAAGTGGGAACAATCCAAATGTCCATCAACTGATGAACAGATACATAACATGGATTATATCCATGTAATTAAATATTATTTAGCAATAAAAAGAAAATATTGATTCATGCTACAAGTGGATGAACTGCAAAAAACATATGCTTAAGTTAAAGAAGCCAGTCTCAAAGGATCACATATTATATGATATTATTAATATACATGTCCAGAATAGGCAAATCTACAGTCAGAAAGCAGATTAGTGGTTGCCTAGGGATAGGGAGGAGGATGAGGTACTAGAAAGTGATGGCCGAGGGGCAAGGGGTTTCTTTTTTTAGTAATGAAAATGTTCTGAAATTGACTGTGGCAGTGAATGCACAACTCTGTAAATATAAATATACTAAAAAACATCTAATTGTACACTTCAAGTGGGTGAATTTTATGGTATGTGAATTGTATCTCAATAAAGCTGTTACAAAATTATATAGCCTAAACTGTCTAGCTTGAAAATAGTGCTTGCTTATACAAACTGAATATACATTGCTAAGAATATAGACTGAAATCCAAGTGAAAGGACAGGCCTAGATTTCTGCATTGATTTATCTGTATGAGAGGAAGTGAAAACTTGAGCTCCCCAATGCCCACAGTAGTAATCAGCCTCCAAAGGGCCCCTAAAATTCTCATCTCTCAGCATTCACACTTGTTTAGACTCCTCCCAAACTATACCAGGGTTGGTTTCTGTGACTCATAGAATATGGCAGAAATTATGGTATGTCTCTTTCATAATTAAGTTACATGAGACTTTGTGGCTTCCATTTGAGTGTTTACACTTTAATTGGATAAACAAAAATAAAACGAAATTGCAATTGTGGTATTTTAACTTCCTATTCCTTCATCTGCTTTCATTTTTTAAATCTTATTATTTAACTGTTCTGACCAGAAATTCTGATAAGTTAATCAAGAGACCTGACGCTCTGTAATCCTTATCAGTGTAATTCACTGACAACCATCTGGAAGGCTTTAACTTAAAAATTCCATCCAATAGATTACAATTGACACGTGGAAACCAATATAATAAAAGAGTAAAACCAGCTCCTGTCACTACACATACATGCTTTTGTTGCTAAAATTATTGGGTTGTCTTGTATATTCCAAGACTAATATATCTATTATAATAAAAGGAGAAACTGTACCTTTAATGATACACTTTTTCCATGAAAGAAACTTGCAAATAGTTTGGGTGACTTTGGAGGTATATAAACTACTTACAAGTAGGAAAATGTCCTCTCTCTTCTCCTCTGCCCAACCCAAGTCCATATTCACAGTGATCTTACCACATAACAGCTAAACAAACACGTTATTCAGAAGACAAATAGTATTCATGTCAATGATCATAATAACTCACAATGAAAGTATTTAACTCATCAAGGAGTTCCTAGTAAAGACATACCTAGAAAGGTATAGTCCATACAATTTCAGCTATCTGTATGAATTTTTTTAAAAAAAGAAAAGGACAAATGTCCATTCACATTTGGTATCATGTGAATTCAGCCAAAGCCAATGGACTTAGGAAAGCGTCAGTTCGTATTCTTTGCTGGCCTTCGGGTATGTGATCCAGTAACAATGAAGACAGTGAGTAATGAGTGGCCACTAGAGAATTCCTTTTTAATAGATGGCCAGGATGCAAATGTTGAAAGTAGATTCATTCTTTAATTCATTAGACAAATATTCATAAGCACCTAGTATCATGTATATGCCTCAAATTTTGACCCCTCCAACATTTATTTCCAAATTTTAAGGCATAATAAGATATACTTGAGGACTTTTTCCTCAAAACTTATCTTCATAAGTTTGGGTCAATTTACATCACACATAGGTCTGAATACATTTTTTTCTCAAAGGGGAGAATGATTAATTTTATGTTTTGCAGTCAAACCCCTCTGTAAAAAGCAGTTCACTTCTGTCCTCCAACACAAATGAAGGATTTCAAAGACTTTTGTTGAACTCAGTCTCTCTTTTATACAAATTGCTCTGAGTTTTTCAAATGAAAAGAAACTTCCAATTTTAGAAAAGAAACATACATATTTAGACATTAGGGAACTTGTATAGAATGAGTAGACTTGTTGTTTATAAAGAATAATTCACATTGTATATTATCCTGTGTTTTCTATCAGGTACCTCCAAGTCTGTCACTATATATTTTTTAAATGATCATTAACTGAATGATGGCTTACTAGGCTTAAGCTTCACAAAGATAGAGATCATGACTCCTGGTTTTTCTGAGATGGGGTCTCATTCTGTCACCCACGCGATCACAGGCAACTGCAGCCACAAACACCCAGGCCCAAGTGATCTTCCCATCTCAGCCTCTCAAGTAGCTGGGATGACAGGTGCATATCACAAAGCCAAGCTATTTTTAAAAACTTTTTTTGTAGAGACAGGGTCTCACTATGTTGCCCAGGCTTGTCTCGAACTTCTGGGCTCAAACAATCCTCCTGTCTCACCCTCCCAAAGTGTCACAATTACAGGCATGAGCCACCATGCCGGGCTGGGACCATACTCTTAAGACAACTGTGTCCTTGATGCTTTCATGAGTTCCTGGTATGCAGTTGATGTTTAAAAAAATGTTGGTTGAATGAGTAAATGAATGAAAGACTCTAAGAGAGATAATATTATGGAAGAGTGTCAATGATTTTGAAGGACTCATTCATAGTCTGGAATCAAACCTATAGAAAATTTCAAAAATGAAGGTGAAAACTATAAATTCCTTTGAGGGAGCCATTCCTAGTGTCTTTCTAGCCAAGATGTGCCCCACCCTTCATTCTTGAACCTGAATATGTGGGTTCGTACGTGCAAATAAGCTTGTTCTGAACTTGAGGCAGCATGAGGCACACTGCAAAGTCCATGCTATGACAATGAGTCAGTCCTGAGTACATGATGGATTCACTGATTACAAGGTGGCCTGTCAGGCTTATCACAAAGAGAACAGTAGCATAGTGACTGTGTCTGTGTGAGTTCTGGCTACTTCTGCACGGTTGCCTCTGATCACAGCACTGCACCAGTTTTCTCACGCCTGTAATCTCAGCACTTTGGGAAGCCGAGGCAGGCAGATCACCTGAAGAGACTGAGACCAGCCTGGCCAAAATGGTGAAACCCCGTCTCTACTAAAAATACAAAACTTAGCTGGGCATAGTGGCAAACGCCTGTAATACCAGCTACTCAGGAGGCTGAGTCATGAGAATCGCTTGAACCCAGGAGGCGGAGGCTGCAGTGAGCCAAGATCACACTACTGTACTGCAGCCTGGGTGAAAGAGGAGACTCCATCAAAAAAAAAAAAAAAAAAAAAAAAAGAAGAAGAAAACAAACTCAACTATTGGTTGAGACTAGTATCCCCTACTCCAAGTAATGCAGCATGTTCATGAAATTCCCATTACAGATGGAAGGGTTAGGATCAAGTGGATCACCAGCCACAGCCACAGCCACAAAGCTAAGGGGCAGAGGGGAGTTAGTGGGGCGGTAAAAAAAGAACTCTTGGAGATGATACTCAAGTAAAATACATGGGTCACCTCCCTAGTGGCGTTAAGTATTGGTGTTGTCAAGCTCAAGTCTATACTCAATGAAGTGGTTACAATTTGCCGATGTATTTGATGAGTGACTTTCAATCCTGTTTCTGTTAAGATTTTAAAACATAGTAAGATAGAAGGAAACTTGAGGCAGTGTAATTTCTGGAAATATGGGTAAACTCATGTTTCTATTCTCTTTGTGTTAGATGCCACTCCAGTTCAGTCAGTAAAATCCCCTCTATATATCTTGAATTACAATTTAAGATATGAGCAAAAAAAAGTAAAAAATAAAGAAAAAACAACCTACCCACAACGTGTTCCATTTGTCATGGTCTGGTTGAAGGAGCTGTTAGTCCATACGATGGTGTTATTCACACATGCTTTTCCTGGAATCTGGAGTTCTTGTAACTCAATGTCATAGTCAATAAAAACATCTGTCATTGTGCCAAAAATGAGCAGCACGCCTGGCTGGGCTATTCCATGGAGAAACGCACACAAACTTCCCACAAACATCAGCCAAATGTCAGTTGATGAAGAAAACCGAAACTTGAAAAACAAAGGGTTCAGAGATCATCTATGGGTGAAAAGTGGGAGAGGTAGGAGGACTATTTAATTTTAGTTACTAGATTCCGATGAATAGTACTCAACACCAAATTTCATGGGAATCATCTTAATTGAGCAGCAGGTTCGTACAAATTATATTGAAATAAATGGCATGGTACATCAATTATCTAAAACATTAGACTCTTACATTGTTAGATCATGTTATAAATTTCCTGTTCTCTGAATTCATTCTGTTTATTTCAGGAGCTGACTTTAGTTTTTAGCTACTCATCTACAGCTCGAGGGGAAAATAATCACTATCAGTGATGCCATTGACAAGTAGATAAACTGTGTGGGGCATTCAGCAACAGTATAAATTGTTTTGTACAACTGATAGTGACAATGAAGAGTGCCGGTTTATGCCTAGAAATGCCTCCATCCTGAGCAAATTTGGGGTAAATACCTATACTATGAAATTTCTAAAGATTTGTCTTAAGAATAAATATATATAATGTGATTGTTGTGATGACTTTCCTTACAAATATGATAACCATGGGCTGAGTGATAATTTTCTGAGACATTTTTCTGATCTATTGGACAGGATTTGTATGTTTCATGAGCAACATATTTCTAATAGTTATTCAGCATGTTATCACATAGGCAAAGCCTATGACTGAAAAAGTGATCACTGAAGTTAAAAACCTACCAATATTACTAAAGATTTAACACTCCTTTCATGATCTAAACAATTTATAGTTGCACAGTCACTGCCATAAATCAACAGTTTTATTACCAATTGAAAGAAGCCAACTCGAACGCCATCACCTTTCTTCTCATCTTGTAACCTGAGGAGAAAAACATAGGGATTTAAAGACCATCCTTTCCAATACAATGGGAAATTATCCCTAGGTGGTGATTTTATGAGTTATTCTTTAGTAAGAAAGAAAATCCTCACTGGCTGGGAAATTCTGGCCAAGCCTGATATCTTAAACACAAGCTTTATTCTTCTAGATTTACCTCTTCTAGAGATTTCAGTATAGCTCAATCTCAGGTTCACTAGCGATTCAGAGAGGAACACCTGAGAGGTATGGAGAGAAAGTAAAAAGTCCTCTATACTCCCAGTTATACCAACAAATAACTTTTTGCCCTCAGTCATGACCCTCAATCTATTTGTGACTGCATTTCCTCATGGGAAGCTGAAGTCGTTGGATTAGCTAATTTTAAAGTTTCCTCACACTCAAAAAGTTTACAACTACCTTAAATAATGTTGATATGATGAAAAATTCAAGAACATGCCCATACTTTTCATAGAATCATATTTCCTTAATATTTCTCATTCATTTCATTTCCCGTAAGGCCATGTTTAACCTGTATTTGACCTCTTCAACTTCGGGGATCTTGACTTAACCTGAGTCACCCAGTCCATGAATACACCCTGGACCTTGCTGTCACCAGGAACTACTGTCTAACATGTGTAACTCCTTGGCACTCTGTGACTGCCCATGTATTTCATTTTCTCACTTCTTTCCTCCTTCCACACCTATTCATCAACCTCACTTGAGCCATGCAGTCCCTTAAATCCTTCATTTCCTTCCATTGCTAAACCCCATTAAGATTTTTCTTCCTTCCCCATGCAGCCAAGGTCCCTCTGCCAGGCATTTGAACCACACTCTCACCATCATCGTCAATTATTTTCTCTACATCATCCTTGTAAACTTCATCCTGCATCCATCCAGCTGTTTGCCCTCTTCTCCTTAAGCCAGGCAGCTGGCCCTGCTGAACACAACCTTACCACCTTGTGAATGGATACCAAGACAGGCAGAGTCTAGTACTCAGCTGCCCTAAGCTTCCCTTCCGGCCCAGAAAAGAATCCCAATTTTTTTCTGAGACTCCCCACGGTCTGGCCCTTAGCTCTCTGACCTCATCTCCTCCAACTATATTCTAGTTCTCAACACCCCACTCTCCTGGCCTCTTGTTGACCTTTGTCCATGCCCAGCTGTTCCCACCTCTGGGTGCAGGCACCTGCTAGTCCCTCTCCCCAGATGCATTTTCTTTAGGTAACCACAGGGACAGCTCCACTACCCCCGCTAGACCTTCCTTCAAAAGTCACCTACTCAACAGAGTCTTCCCTGGCCAAAGTCTTTAAAATTTCAACCCCACCCCCCACATACCATTTCATAGCTCCATTTCCATGTTTATTTTTCCTTCTCAGAAAGAAAGTGATAGATTATCACTAGCTACCATGCTATACATTTGATTTATTTACAGTGTTTATTATATCTCCCTCACTAAAATGTAAACTCCTCAAGGGCAGACACTTTTGCCTATTTTGTTCTTTTCTGTACCTTCTGTACCCTCAGCACCTACAATAGTGTCTGATACCAAATAGACACTCAACTAATATTTGCAAAATGAATGAATTAATGGAGTGAATGTGTGCGCTCCAGCTCAACATGCAATGCACACTTCATTCCTCTACAGATCGCTCCCGTTCCTCTCAGCAGCTCTGGCAAACTTTTGCTGTGTTCTTCTCATTCCACGCTCACCTCCTCTAAAAACGAAACAACTCATTCAACTTCCTACTCATCCTCTCCTTGCCATTCATCTACATCTACACCCATTTTTAAAATTTCCCACCCAATAAGAAATATGTGGTTCTCAGAGGCCCAGGCTGACCTGACCACTACCAGCCCAAAGCTAATCTTACCACTCCCACTCCCTCCCTCTGCTGTGAATTACTTAAAATTTCTAAAATACCTTTAACCCTTCCCTTTCCACCACCTCCACTTCAGGAACTTACCTGATGTCTCACTTCTGTCTTCTAAATTAGACCTCATCTAATCCTGCCTTCATACCAGACTGTGATTAGCTTATATTTGTTCTATGTGAGAATTCAAAATCTTTAGCTAAAGAGAAATATGCAATAATAATACTTTAGGTTTCTACTCTTTGCCTGTGGCAAGAATTTGGGGTTTAGGGACGTCCCCAATGCCCATGAAATTATACTTGTTGTTCAACTTTTCCTCTTCCCTCTTAGGTCAGGAGTTCTGTGCCATTCCTGAATACACGAGGGAGATTTGGACTCAATCCAGAAGCGATTTTCCAAAAGGTTTTAAAAATCAAATTGTAGTAATGTTTTAAAGAGAAAAAGAATGGATTATATATATTATTTTATATGAAGTGCAATGTGCATGAAAATATTCTCTGCTTTGTGCCGTTGATATGAATATTATGGAGTTATTCTAGAAAAGATGCTGCAGTCACTTACCTTGATTTCTTATCATTATTATCTGTCAGAAAAAAAATCAGTGCAAAAAAGCAGTTAATAATAATAATGACAAAATGCAATAGAGTCATTAAGAAATTTGCTCTGGAAAAATATTCCTATAAATTACCTTTATTCATGGAATATTACCAAATGATTATTGGCCTTTTCTTTTTTCCTGCTCACGTTCTCTCTCTCTCTCTCTCTCTACATGCACACACACGCACACACACACGAAGACACTCATTAGGGTCCAGGAGTGCTGCTACGTTTACCAATTTACAGACTTTTCTTCAGGACATGAAATATTTGCACCATCTGAATATCAAACAGACAGCAACATTTCTAAATTAGCTGAAGAAGATCTGACTTTTTGAACTACAAAATAAAATTGATATTTATTTATTGTTTTATTGTTTGGTTCTTTAAAAGCATCAGAATTTATCTGTTTAAAATATAGACCACAAATTAACAATAAGATGTTAATAACAAGATGTCATTGACACTTCTACACCAGTAGAAACCATAGGATTGAGACACATACTGTTTTCCCCAGTGTAGGTCAGAACAGATGCAGGGCAGGAGGTGAAAGTTGGGGGTTATAGCGAGGGGTGTAAGGAAGCCACTCGGGAGTTTTGTCATCCAACACTATCATGCCTCTTTACTTTAATAAGAGTAAAGAGGCATGATGATGTTGACAGATGGCAATATCCTGGGCTTGGAAATCAAACACAACTGTTTGATTAGAATTATGGTTCCATTAATTTTACTCATGTGACCCTTGCCAAGTTTCAAAAACATATCCGAGTCTCAATTTTGTCATCTGTAAAATATAAAATCATAGGGTTAGAAAACAACAGCTTAGAACCATCTGAGCTCAAGACATCCCAGGTGCTAGTGCTACAGGCCCCTCCACATGATCTCATTCTGGTCTGCAGAGTCTGGGCACAGCTCTTCCTAAGAAGGAGCACTTACTAAATTATGATTAATAATAACAATACAGGAATAAAGTTAGTCATAACAGCCACTGCTGGAACAACCCTACTCTATCTAGGAAAGGGGTTGGTGAGAGATGCTTTCATTTACCCAGACTTGGAGTGTTCTTACCTAGTGCTTTCAGATAGTATGTTATGTGGCTTCTAGGGAGAGCCACAGAGTTGTGTGTAAGGATCACACCCAATGATAGTTCTACCTACTGTTGCTGAATATTTTCTGCTCCTTGAGACTTCACCAACTTGTCCCACTTTTGTTCTCGCCTCTCCTTGTACAAGATGCAGTGAGAGAAAAAAGTCACTTACATGATTTATCTGACTCAAAACCACCATTCTCCTCTCCAAATTTCTTTACACTTCGAAGAATTACTGGGTCAGACATGGTAATTGCAATCTGCAGGCAACAACCCTATAAAATAAAAGAATCATTGCAATTATTATCTTTTCTTTCTTCTTTAACCAAAGTAGCCAAACGAAAAAAACAATTTGGTTCAAGAAATAATCTTCACTAATCAATCTCAGACAAAAGCAGATTTTTAAATTGGTTAATAACTCCCTGAAAGAACCTGTTTATCAGGAAAGATAAGCTACAGCCATTGATGAAGGTTTTCTCTAGTTATTACATGGATAGTTGTTTTCTATAGCTTAATTATAGGAAAGATAAACCAAAACCATTGATCAATTTTCCTCTCGTTGTTGGATGGGTGGTTATACTTTATGCTTATCTGTGCTTTATTTATTTTTAATGAGAAAACGTGAAAACTATGAGAAAGGCAAACCAACTGGTGATATTCTTGAGTTGCTGTAGTTGACGAATAACACCCACATACTGTTGGGTAACCTTCAGTGTTCTTTTGTAAATGCAACCTCAAGATAAGGTGAGTCTAGCTTGGCTCAAAGGAACAGAAAGGAGACATTGTCTAAATAAAATGTAAATGTCAACAGAGTCATGGTTAGTCTTATTCACAGTGGAAAGATCAGTTTATAGAGGGGACAGGTAGAGAATTCCAGGATACAGACACTAGATTCAGCATGAAGTTTATGCTTCACTAACTGTCTCTGCTTCAAATATATAGCAATGATGGATAACATGTTTTTAAAGAGAGACAGTCGGACTCAAACAAATAAAAATAAACATCTTCAGGAACCAGAAATGGCAGAGAAGCACCAAAGAGTAAACAGAGCACAGAAGCAGCTGGTATTTCCCCCTCAGTGTCTGGATGCCAACGAGTGTGAGAGTTTAGCTCCTGAGAGGACTGTAAGTGCCCCAAATCAAACAGGGAGCTAGAGACCACCTCTTTGCTTGGAGCCAGAGGAGCTAATGTGGGTCTCTTGCACTGCTGAGAAGACCCTGAGGAAACTGCTGCCCAGCATTGAAGCAGCTATTCCTTATGATGAAATGCAGACCCATGGAGGTTATAGGAGGAGACAGTGATATATATTATATACATATATACACACATGTACAAATAAGAGAGAGGAAGGGGGAATTATGAAAAACTGAACTCACCTAATTGGAATCCCAGAAGCAGAGAGTGGAGAATGACAGAAGTGTAACAATTAAAGAGATAATTACTAAGAATTTTCCAGAAGCAATAACCTGATTCTTCAAATTAACAGTAGGCTCCAATAATTGATTGGAATAAACATCAGTCAAAACTTAAATACATTATCTAGAAATGTCCCTCAGTATATGCAGGAGATTGGTTCTAGCACTCCCACATATACCAAAATCTGCATATACCAAAATCCAGGTATACACGAGTCCCGCAGTCGGCTTGCAGAACTTGAGCACAGGAAAAGTTGGCTCTCCATATCCACTGGTTTTGCATCCTGAGAATACTGTATTTTTCACTGAGATTGGTTGGAAACAATCCCCATATAAGTGGACCTGCACAGTTCAAACCTGTGTTGTTCAAGAATCAAACTGTAGTAAAGCATCAAGAATAAATAAAATCCGTCCTAAACACTGTAAAAGGGGAAAATGCATTATCCAAATATAAAGAACAGACTGACAGAAGTTTTCTCATCAGCAATAGAGGCTAGAAAACAGTGGAGTAAAGTCTTCAAAGTGATGAGGGAAAAAGTAATCTTTATCCTAATTTTATACTGAGCCAAAAAATCATTCAGCATCTTTCCCAACATTCAAAGTCAAGAGAGTTGCCACTTACGGACCTGCATAAAACAACAACTAGAGGATGTGCCTTAGCCAGAAGGAGTATCCAGAAGGGAGCCATGAAAGAGAGAAACAAGGGTGAGCACAAGAGTTAACAAAATATGTCAGGACGGCCAATCAAATATTGATACCAAGTATAACCTTTTATATTTCAAAAGAGCATAATTAAAACTCTACACAATAGTGTAGATACGAGTGTATCTTGAACACAAGATAAGGTGTTCAATATGCAGATAAAGTATGTTAGGTTCATTGTCATGACAATCTAAGGACATTGTTTTACAATTATAATTAAATATATATTTATACTATTATAATTAAATATATATTTATACTATTATAATTAAATATATATTTGATTAAATGAAATGAAATTGCCAATATTTAACCATTTTTTAATTACAAGGTTCAACTAATATCTGAACAAAGTTCAACCAATATCTGCAAATTTTAAGAAAAAGCAATGAAAAAGTACCAGTAAAATCCATAGCTTCTAAATAAGCACGGATTAAAAACTGAGTATGTAGAAAACTTCATCAATCCAACAAAAGTTAAAAAAAACTAAAGAAACTTTAAAAAGGGTAACAAACAGAAAATATAAACGAAGGTTATTGAAAATAGTACAAATGGTTCAGTAATTATGGTAAATGTATGTAGATTGAAGTACTGATACATACTACACAGATGAACCTCAAAATCATGCTACATGAAAGAAGACAGTCTCAAAAGATCACATACTGTATGATTCTATTTACATGAAATGTCCAAGATAGGCATATCTGTAGAGACAGAAAATAAATAAGTAGTTGCCTAATACGGGGGTAGGGGTAGGGGTGGGAGGGGAATGAGGAGTGACTGGTAACAGATTTCTTTTGGGGATGAAGAAAATGTTCTAAAGTTAGAATATGGTGATGGTCGCACAACTCTGTTAATATACTGAAAACCATTGAATACTTTAAATAGGTGAACTCTATGATATGTAAATTATACCCTCAAAAAGTTGTTTTTTTAAAAAAAGACAGGTCAGTTTATGGAATTTTTTAAAGTCCAAACATATACTTTTTTTTTTTCTTTTTGAAACGGAGTGTTGCTCTGTTGCCCAGGCTGGAGTACAGTGGTATGATCTCGGCTCACTGCAACCTCCACCTCCTGGGTTCATGTGATTCTCCTGCCTCAGCCTCCCAAGTAGCTGGGATTACAGGTGTGCACCATCATGCCTGGATAATTTTTGTATTTTTAGTGGAGATGGGGTTTCACCATATTGGCCAGGCTGGTCTCAAACTCCTGGCCTCAGATGATCCATCCGCCTCAGCCTCCCAAAATGCTGAGATTACAGGCGTGAGACATCACACCCAGCCAATCCAGACATATACTTATTATAAAAGAAATAATTTATAAAATCATAAAAATGGTCAAAAATTAAAGGATGAAAAGGATATGTCATACAAATACTGATTTCTCAAAGCTGTTATGTTAATGTCAGAAAAATAGAATTCATGCTCAAAACAATAATGGATATAATAAAGGACATGTAATAATTAAAAGTACAATCCAGCT